CACTAGCAAAACCCCTCACGACTTTACTTAGAGGCGAGGACGGGCGTATTTTAAAAAAGGCTTCATCGAGGAAAACCATCCACCTCAACGATGAAGCTATGCAAGCTTTTGATAAACTTAAAAGCACCCTAATATCAAAGGACGTAATATTACAATACCCTAACTTTAATGAGGAATTCGTACTAACAGCAGACGCTTCCGACCACGCAATAGGAGCAGTACTTTCACAAAAGGACAGACCAATAGCTTTCATATCCAGAACCCTATCACAAACAGAAGAAAACTACGAAACAGCTAAAAAAGAAATGTTAGCCATCTCTTGGGCAGTACAATCGCTTAGAGGATACCTTTACGGTGGAACCAAAGTTAAAATTTACACCGATCACGAACCACTTACACACGATTGTAACTGGAAAGGAGGAATCGCAATAAAGAGATGGAAATCATACCTTGACGAATACAACAAAGAATTACTTTACAAACCCGGAAAAGAAAACGTAGTGGCTGATGCCTTATCCAGAATACCAAAAACCAACGAAATTAATTCATTAACCATAACACAACATAGCGCTCAGAGTTCAGGCCACAATCTTATTTACAACGTAGAAGCACCCATAAATGCATTTAAAAATCAAATATTCATTCATAAAGAAAATCCCCCTAACTATAAATTTACTATTCCATTCCCAACATTTCATCGGCACATTATCACTCAACCAAACCTTCCAAAAAACACTCTTATAGAATTACTAAAAAAATATCTAAATCCTTCAGTCATAAATGGAATATTTACAACGGAAGAAAAAATGGGAGAAATACAAAGAAATTATTCGCAACATTTTAGATTTTTTAAAATCAGGTTCACACAGAATAAAGTAGAAGACGTAACAAACGAAAGTGACCAAGAAGAAAGAAGAAAATAAAATTCAGCTTGCAGAAAAATATTTCTTTCCTAAAATGAAACAAAAAGTAACAAATTTAGTTAAACAATGCAAAGTGTGTAAAGAAGGAAGATACGATAGACACCCACCTAACCCAGAAATTACAGAAACTCCAATTCCTGAATACCCAGGACATGTAATTCACATTGGCATTTTTTCCACAGAAAGAAAATTAGTTTTGACCGCAATAGACAAATTTTCAAAATTAGCACAGGCAAAAATTATCAAATCTAAATCAACAGAAGACATTAAAAAACAGCTACACGATATTCTATTTTACTGCGGTGTACCGAAATACGTTGTAATGTATAATGAAAAATCTTTTGACTCAGCAACTATTAATTTTATGATGAAAGATCAATTAAATATTACCATTTTTAGAGCCCCACCTTATAAAAGTTCAGTTAACGGTCAGATAGAAAGGTTTCACTCCACTCTATCTGAAATAATGCGATGCATTAAGACAAAAAAATTTACAATACTTTTGAAGAACTATTAAATAGAGCCGTTTACGAATATAATTAAACAATCCACTCCGTTATAAAAAAACGACCGTTAGAAATATTTTTTGGAAGAAACGTTACTACTGATCCAGAACAATATGAAAAAAGCAGACGCGATAATATAGAAAACCTCCAACAAAAACAAAAAATTGACCTCGAAAACCACAACAAAAAAAGAAAAGAAATAAAAACTTATCTACCAGGTCAAGAAATTTTTGTTAAACAAAATACAAGATTAGGATCAAAACTATCTCCACGCTTTAAAAAACAAATTGTCAAAGAAAATAGAAATACAGCCGTAGTTACTGAAGCGGGAAGGATTGTTCACAAAAGTAATATTAAAGGAGATTAGGTCCGACACTCCGTAGGGAAATTTTTTTGTAGGGAAATTTTTTTGTCCATCTTTGTCCGAAATTAAAAAAAAAAAAAGGAAGAACGCTATAGTCGAGTACCTCGACTATCAGATACCCGTTACTCAGATAACAAACTTTAAAATAAGTTAGCCGCGCACTTTGTTCTCTCTCCCTTGCTCTAATTTCTCGGCTCTGCTTTTGTTTCAGCCAGCGCCAAGAATGAGAAAGCAACACATAAAATATTTATGTATGCTTGCTAAACATACACAATTTTAAGGCACATTCTGTATTTCAAAATATTTGGTTGAATAGCTTTGTTTGAAAGAATTCTATTTGCCGCGGATATTAGATTGCAATTTTTTACGTCCACACACATGCATAAATAAATATGTATGTATGTATGTCGTTTTCTGGCTCTAGTGTCAAGGTTTGTCCTAACTACTTTGTTTTGAGAGCATTGGACTGAAAACGGAAAAGTTTTTTGGGACAATCTATAGGTATTTATTAAGCTAATTCATATTCTTTGAAAGAGATAAATAAAGATGTACAGATCTTTAAAGGTTTTTGCCCGTCAATGGGACAAATGGATAAAGGGTTCATTATTCAATAGAATAAGTTAGCCGCGCACTTTGCTCTCTCTGAGCGCCGGCAGGGCTTTTTTCTTTGCCGCTAAGTTCGGCCGGCAACTACCCTGCAGTTCCACAATTGAGTTAAGCGCCCAATCATCACGAAGCCGACTGCGACGTCGGCAGAGAAGCCAGCGACGCCGGCAGAGCTGAGCGCAACGGCGGCAAAGCGACGCGCTCTCAGTCGGGAGAAGAGAACGCACAAAAAGTAATTTTGGGCTCTCCCTCTCTCGCCATGTCTCAGACGGAAAAGTGCGTGTGATGGGAAGGAGGCCCAGCAACTAAAATATATAGACTTTTGTGCACCCTTGCCTTTTGAATAATGCAACATTTGTTCGTAAATGATAAAACAACCATTTAAAATAATAGGTTTCTGTTTCCAAATATTTGTATTTCTTACAAAATTTATAGGTTTATTAATATTGTTTAATAATATGTGAAGTTTTAAGAATATATTTTTATAAACCGATTTGCATAGTCGGATATGTCTATAAATACCCTGCTTTTATGTGCAAGATGCATAGACCAAACGGGACATGCCAAAAAAACAGAACAACAACGGATTAGCGGAACCGTTGTTGTTGTTGCTTGTTGTTTTTCTGGAAGGCACGCTACTTTTTTCGTCTTTTTCACTTGGGTTTACTTATGTGAAGGAGTTAGAATTGCACGTAATTAAGGTAGTTAAATAAAATAAACCAGTGGTTTAAAAGTGATACCTATACGATTCCCAGGTAAGTCTGTCGCAGACCAATATTAATTTAATCAGTGAGAGTAAAATCAAGTTAATGTACATTAAAAAAATGGAAAATACAAGATTCCCAAAAAAACACGTGGCGGAAAAAAAATAGCTGTGAAAAATATTAATTTTTGACGTGAAAAACAACAAATGATGCATATAAATAAACAAATGAATGAATCTGTGAAAAAATTTGAAAATCTTATTGAGTGCTAAGTTCCTAGGGACCAAAAATAAGAGATGTTTGTTTTTATAACTTATGATTTTTTGTATTAATATCATTAAAGCACAATTTTTATTTTTGTGTAAGTAAACAAACATAACTATTTAAATAAAAATCTCAAACATCTCTAATTTTCCGTCCCTGGAAAATTGTTATTTTTTCCGCATCTGCAAAATAAATAAATGATTTAATAAATAATAAAAAAATGCATAAATAATTTTTTACAACAAAATAAAATAAATCAAGTGACCGAAAACAAAAGTTTGCAAATTTCTTCTCGATATTTTTTAATTTTCTTTTATTTTTAGACAAGGCTGATGGTAAATCTATAAAAAAATGGAAGGCTAAGTCGTTCCATCTTAAGCATATTATTATTGAGGCTGAAAACTATTGTTTGTAAGTTTAATTTTTAAAAGACTTCTGGGATTTTTACATTGAATGCCAAAGATAACATTTCTTTTATTATAAATAAATCTTACAAGTAACGATTACTTTCGGTCACTCGTTTTTATTCTCGTCTTGTTTTATTTTTAAAACTAATTTTTTCTAATACTAGATGCAATCGCCCTGGTGGATCCCTCGGAGCCTCCAGAAAAGGAGCTGCAGAAGGCAATGCGGTGCGTTAAAAACTTGAGTTGTACCAAAAAAAAGGCAACGCCGGCACCAGATGCTGAGGAGGAGGTGCCAGCGATAACACCGGCAACCCCCGAGCTCAAATTTTAAAATAAACAAATAAAAATTAAAATTACAACTGAAATTTTTTTGCTGCTAAGCGCTCAACGTGTGCTGAAAATGTGCTTTTACCGCTGCTCAATCGAGCGCTCAACATGTGCTGAATGTGTGCTTTTTCCGCTGCTCAATCGAGCGCTCAACATGTGCTGAACGTGTGCTTTTTCTGCTGCTCATAAAAGCGCTCAAAAGGGTGCTCAAAAAAGCGCTCAATGCACACGTTCAGCACATGTTGAGCGCTCGATTGAGCAGCTGAAAAAGCACACGTTCAGCACATGTTGAGCGCTCGATTGAGCAGCTGAAAAAGCACACGTTCAGCACATGTTGAGCGCTCGATTGAGCAGCGATAAAAGCACACATTCAGCACACGTTGAGCGCTCATTCAAGCAGCGAAAAAGCGCACTTTCAGCGCACGTTGAGCGCTTAGCAGCAAAAAAAATTTCAGTTGTAATTTTTATTTTTATTTGTTTATTTTAAAAATTGCGCTCGGGGGTTTCCGGTGTTATCGGGGTCGCTGGCACCTCCTCCTCAGCATCTGGTTTTTAACGCACCGCATTGCCTTCTGCAGCGCCTTTTCGGGAGGCTCCGAGGGATCGACCAGGGCGATTGCATCTAGTATTAGAAAAAAATTAGTTTTAAAAATAAAACAAGACGAGAATAAAAACGAGTGACCGAAAGTAATCGTTATTTGTAAGATTTATTTATAATAAAAGAAATGTTATCTTTGGCATTCAATGTAAAAATCCCAGAAGTCTTTTAAAAATTAAACTTACAAACAATAGTTACTTTCAGCCTCAATAAAAACTTACTTAATAAGTAAGTTGTGGGACAGAACAAGTTCCTCGGATAATATGCTTAAGATGGAACGATTTAGCCTTCCATTTTTTTATAGATTTACCTTCAGCCTTGTCTAAAAATATAAGAAAATGCAAAAAATATCGAGAAGAAATTAGCAAACTTTTGTTTTCGGTCACTTGATTTATTTTATTTTGTTGTAAACAATTATTACGAAAAATAAACCACACATTATTTATGTATTTTATATTATTTATTAAAACATTTATTTATTTTGCAGTTGCGGAAAAAAAATAACACTTTTCCAGGAACTGAAAATTGGAGATGTTTGAGATTTTTATTTAAATACGTACACAAAAGTAAGAATTGTTGTTAAATGTTATTAATATTCATTTTTATCGAATTTTAACCACAAATATAAGTTTTAAGAACAAACATCTCTTATTTTTTGTCCCTAGAAACTTTGCACTCAATAAGATTTTTAAATTCTTTCACAGATTTCTTTATTACATATATGCACCATTTGTTGCTTTTCACGTCAAAAATTAATATTTTTCACAGCTATTTTTTTTCCGCCACGTGCTATTTTGGGAATCTTGTATTTCCCTTATTTTAAATATAGATTATCTTGTTTTTTACTCTCACTGTTTTCAATATTATTAGTCTGCGACAGACTTACCTGGGAATCGTTTCTTTTTCACTTTTAAGGCACTAATTTAATTTAATTTAGTAAATTGCTGGTATGTTTGCTTCAACTTCTAACTCCTTCACTAAAGTAAACGCAAGTGAAAAGACGAAAAAAGGCGCGTGCCTTCCAGAAAAACAACAAGCAACAACAACAAAGGTTCCGCTAAGCCGTTGTTGTTTTTTTTGCATGTCCCGTTTGGTCTATGCATCTTGCACATAAAAGCAGGGTATTTATAGACATATTCGACTATGCAAATCGGTTTATAAAAATATACTTTTAAAACTTTACATATTATTAAATTATATTAATAAACATATAAATTTGTTTAAGAAATACAAATATTTTAAAACAGAAACCTATTATTTTAAATCGTTGTTTTAACATTTACGAACAAATGTCGCATTATTCAAAAGGCAAGGGTGCACAAAGGTCTATATATTTTAGTTGCTGGGCCTCCTTCCCTTCACGCGCACTTTTTCGTCTGAGACTTGACGAGAGAGGGAGAGCCCAAAATTACTTTTTTGTGCGTTCTCTTTGCGGACCCGACTGAGAGCGCGTCGCTTTGCCGCCGTTGCGCTCAGCTCTGCCGGCATCGCTGGCTTCTCTGCCGACGTCGCAGTCGGCTTCGTGATGATTGGGCGCCTAACTCAATTTTGGAACTGCAGGGTACATACACACACATACACGCGTAAAAACATTTCGCATTGTCTGGCTCTGACGTCATAGCTTTTTTCTTTGGAGGTTTGTGGGCGTTAGAGTGGGCGTAGCAAATTCAATCGATAGGTATTGACAAGACTAATACATTTCAGTTAAAATTTTTTATCTAGCATCAAAACTGTAGGAGTTACATTTTAGGGCGGTTTGTGGGCGTTAGAGTGGGCGTGGCAGTCTACTGAAACAAACTTGCGCTGCGTAAGAAGCTCAGGAATCTGTACACCAAATCTCAATAGCCTAGCTCTCATAGTTTCCGAGATCTCAGCGTTCATCCGGACAGACGGACATGGCTAGATCGACTCGGCTAGTGATCCTGATCAAGAATATATATACTTTATGGGGTCGGAAACGCTGCCAGTTACATACTTTCCGACGAATCTAGTATACCCTTTTACTCTACGAGTAACGGGTATAAAAAAACCCATTACCCATAACCCTAAAAAAACCGATGTTTAATGGAAATTTTTTTTTATTAGAGGATGTTCTTCCTAACAATATTATTACCATTGGTAACCGCGACCACCGACATTACAAACTATACTGACGCTCATACCATAACAATCTACAAAGGAATAGGGAAACTACAAATATCATCAATAAAACTTATCCATTTAATTAATCTAAGCCACCTCGAAAATGAATTACTTCAAATAAGGGAACACACACAAACCAGATTAAAAAATAGCTATCACTACCATACTCTAACACACGAAATAATACAATCACTCACAGAACTTAGTACACTTACAATATAACCAAAAAAACGCCAAACCAGATCAATAAATATGATCGGCTCAGCCTGAAAATACATCGCAGGTAGTCCAGATCATGAAGATTTAGTAATGATAGAAGAAAGTTTAAATAACCTAGCAATAAATAACAATGAGCAAATAATAATTAATAACCAACTTCAGGACAGAATTAATAACTTAAACACACTTTCGAACATGTTAGCAAACACTATTCAGAATGACAATCGTTTTAGTAATGAAATTGCATCAAATTTTCAAAATCAAGTTAGACTAATAAAAGAAGAAATAGGAAACATTAAATTCGCATACAATGGGCCAAAATTAACGTAATAAATACCCTATTATTAAATGAATTCGAGTTAATTGAAATAAACGAAATTTTTGTATCAAACAATAAAATATTAGCCTTACCCAAAAATTGTAAAGCATCCAACCTCATAAAAATTTGTAAGCAAGAAAACACAATAGACCTAAGAGAATCGAAATGTATTTCTAAATTAGTTCAGGGAAAGGAATCGCTGTGTGACTATAGTAACTCGGACCACATAGAGCCAATAGAAGAACTAGACGATGGCGTAATACTTCTCAACGACTTTGACGGAAATGTAATAGCAGACAACACTACTCGCAACCTAAAAGGCACCTTCGTAATTCATTTTTTCAACGATACCATAAATATAAACGGAAAGAACTACACAAATAAGGAAAAAACAATAACAAGATCTGAAAAACCACGAATCCAGATAATACCAATAGAAGCCGAGCGTCTACAAATTCTGTCCTTAGAAGCCTTAAAAGCCCTACACATAAAAAATAAGAGACACCTACAAATATTAGAAAGCGATACGACCCTAAACCGAATCACAATTATCTTGTTCTTGTTTTAATCACATTTAGAATCTGTGTCCAAAGAAAAGAAAACGTAATTTTACAAGTTCAGGAAACACTTCCAAAAGTTCTAAATAACAAGACCAACACCATATCAACCACTAAAATAATAATACCTGAATTCAATAACATTCCATATTTTTAACTCCTCTTGAGGACAAGAATGATTTTGAGGAGGGAGAGTTAACAACAGCAATATTTCCGCATATTTTTCTCCGAAAATATTGCAACATTGTCATGCACAAAGTTGCAGCCCAAGTTCAATAACATAAAGTTCAATAACATAAACACGAGCATCCGGTCAGCCGCAACTAAGTACGGAATACGAATTCTGCAGACCCTGCAGATTCTGCAACCAAGCAATTTTGTCAACGCTACCAACGCCGCTGCCAGCGCCGCTGCCGCCGAAGCCAACGTCGCTGCCCCAACCCACAGCTTTAAATAGGGATCGATATGTAGAGAAGAGTATTTCCGATTTGTATCTCGAATAAATAAGACATCTTAATCCAATTTTTAAAGTTTTAGTTATTTGGAAATTAACTTACATGTGTCCCTTTTATTGCGGTCAGGTAATTGCCAGGTGCGCATGTTCGGGTAGTTCTTGCTTAAATCCCTTTTATGACATGCTTATGACCCATTTGTGGAAAAGAGAGAATCTTAGACAATTTACCAGTTAAACGTTCTGGGGCGGAAACAAAAATGTGTATTTGAAAATATTCCACATCTGAGAATCATTAACTTGTGAGATTTAGTTTATTGGGGCTCTTTTGATTTCTAAATTAGTTTTACAATCATAGGAAACATTATTTCCCAACATGATCTTACATGTTCCTCTAAGATAACCATCTTTGAATACTTTGGGTGTGCGACCTTGCAAACGTGCACAGCAACATCTGTGATAATGAGGCAAAAGGGTACGTGATCACACCTTTCCCCAACATGATCGGATATGTTCCTCTAAGATAACAACCTTTGGATACTATGGTTGTGCGACCTTTCTCACGTGCACCTTTCTCACCTGACTATTAATTGGACATAATGAGGGGAAGGATACATGATCAATACTGTCACATGGTGATGTGGGGGCGATGGGGGCAATCTCCTCTGAGATATCAACCTTTGGATACTATGGGTGTGCGACCTTTCTCACGTGCACCTTTCTCACCTGACTATTAATTGCACATAATGAGGGGAAGGATACATGATCAATATTGTCACATGGTGATGTGGGGGCGATGGGGGCAATTAATTTTACTCTTTATAGACATGGTCGTGACATTTTTATGACTTCAAAACCCATTAGAATCAGTTAATTTATTGGAGTATGCTAATTGTCCCAGAACCCGCATACGTTATTGAGAGGGGGGAGGGTCATTAATGTGCTAATTGTCCCGGAATCCGCGATTCCATACTACTGATGGGCATTGGCGCTCGTTTTTCTCTGCCAGTCCTCTGACCAGCGCATCTGGGGGGTTTTCCTTTTCAAAGGCCAAGTAGGCCGATAGTATCCTTATGGAGCAAATTCGCAGCTCTAGGCTTACTGCTGTGTTATCACCGTTGCTGTAATTGCGATGCAGAAAAATACTAAGATGCCTTTTGGCTAATATCCAGGTTCGAATTTTACCTTCTTTGGGGTCAAGCATAAGCTTGTATTCCTTTGTTCCTTTGTCCAGCAACATTGCCTCCTACTATCCAAGGGGAAAGGTCCGCCCGGGCAGAGATACGCGAAGGCGATAGTTAGAACAGGTGGTCGCCATATCCCTGAGCACACCGTTTGAGACTGGGCTAGTTTTTGATCCGGGCCCCCAGCCAGGCTGACTCTTGGCACGGTCCGTATTACACCGTAGTTCGCCCCAGAGTGAGATGTTGTTTTGGGCGGGAGGTGAGTAGGTGATGTATTGGGTATGGGTTTGTGTAAAGCAACTATTTAGATGCGGCTGAACAATTCGCATCGTCGGTATTGAGTTGGGACAGGATACCCGCTGGCTGTCCGGGACTGTTTGTTTACTGGGGTTTCCGTCCACGATTCCCTGTGTGACTTCCCCACCAGTTTATTCACAGTTGGCCTCGAGAGAGGTCGTCCGCTATCCGCAGCCCGCGACCCGCTCGGTCGCCCCATCTAGGCGGCTTTGGAACCATTTCACAAGTTCCTCAGCCGAGACCCTTCCTAATTGTGTGGAAGTACAGCTCAGCTCACTAACCAAATACAAAGCCCGTAATTGATTATCAAAACAAAAGACCAAATATTACGTAACGGGGAAAATAAATTAAACCGTCGTCCAGACGAGTATTTAGTGTGCTCCTGGAAAAGTATTCAATAAAATCATAAAAGTCCAGTGACTGGCTTAATAAATCTACTACAACTCGAAAAGACGCTTTCTGCGATGAAATCGCTAATGTTTATATTGATTGGTCAATTAATTAATATATGACTTAACACTTAAAACTTAAATTAACTTAACTTCGATTATAATGAGTCTAAACGACGTTTACACACAACTTCAAAGTGAGCAAGACGAGAGACGGCTCCAGTACAAAGATATAACTCGTACTTATCTTTTAAAGCAACCGAGAATTATGCAAGCTCTGAT